CTTCAAACCCACCCACCCCCAGACGAAAACATTTCGTTTTGAAAAGATTATTGGTAACCTTGCACGGCCCCTAACGAAAAATATTTTCGTAGATCTGCTCTGTTTCGGTTGTGTTTGGACGGATCTATCTTCATAGCAACTTTCGTTACTCGAACCCGGACGGTCAAAGTCTTCAGAATTTTCGTTTTGCGCAACCTGTCTATTAATTGAGCAACTCAGCCCTAAAACTTACTATGAATTGCATCTCTCTTTACTTCATGTCTCTCCTGGTGCAACAGGGTTAAAAACTATCTCAAGGAAAAATTGGACCAGAAAATTATTGATCCAGACAATGGTTCCAATACAGAGCGCAAGCGTCGCCAATTTGAGCAGGAGGCAGATACCAGCCATAAATCTTGATACCTCTGTTAACTGTACAGAGTCGGGTTGGCAGTGCAGCTTGAAACGGCTCGTTCTACAAGCACTTTAATTAACGAGAAGTCTCTAGTGCCAGAACTAGTGGTGGCCACCAGGCAGTTCATAGGAATTGCTGTATCAACGTCTCCAGTTGATGCCGAGTCATCGCCTAGCGGAAGTGGAAGCGGCAGTTATAGTGACGTGTTCTCATCGTTCAAAGGTGTAGATAAAGGCTACAAGTTCTTTAAGGATGGCCATGTTCAAAAGAGTGAACTTGTGACACAGGAGAATTTATTATTTGTTCGATGTAGCGTGCTGCCATCAATGAGGAAAGATGCAATTTACAAGTGTAATCTGTGCCTGTGTCCAGATGGCATGGTGAACCTTGCACTATGCACATGTACAGCTGGGTTGAGTGGTGTGTGCAACCATATTGCAGCCTTTCTCTAAGCACTGGAGGAGTATGTGCGCATAGGCCAACGTGAGGAGGTTGACGATTCCCAAACTTTGCAGGTGGAACCCACCCAGGCCTATTAAAGTCGTTCCTTGAGTCAGCCAATTGTTGACGTCAGGTTTACAAAGGCTGCATTTGTTTCCAAGCGTCAGTCGGCAAAGCGTAAACCTGTGTACAACCCCATCCCAGCGAACAAGCGTCTCATCACCGCTGTGCCTGTATTGTATAATTATCATAATGACATAGTGAACGAAGAGTCGGAATTTGGTGTTGGTGTGGGACAACGCAATCTACAGCAACCACAACTAATCCACCATCCAAGCCCATAATTGAAAGACCAAGACGATCAACAGCCAACTACAACAGAAGCTACGCACTCAGCGGACAAGGGCGAAAGGAGGGACGTGATAGCAGGGTGACGGCTGAGTTGAGTTCAATGGACCCGGTCAGGCGGGATGGACGAGACAGAGAGAGTACAGAGGAAGCGGAGGATGGAACGGACGGCGGAGGGAGCAGTGAGTCGGAGAGCAGTGATGGGAGTGATGGTGAGAATGCCGGTGAGAGTGTTAGTGTTGTGCGTAGGTTTCGTGGTAGCAAGTCTTCAGTGTACAATCATCTGCTAGCTAGTCCTGATTGTTGCAATTCGTATTCCGACTCTTCGTTCACTGTATTGTGCCGTGGTCGTCATGGTTATGGACTACAGTTAAAAGTGTTGGAAGCTATCTATCAGCGTCTGTACAAGCCTAATTTGTGTGTACAGAAAGATAGTATAATAGACCCTTTGCACAATAACGGTCACGTGATCCGAGACGGGGCATCCTCTTCGATTTTTGTGCAGAGTATCCGTTGTTGAGCATGGTGAAACACTGTATTTTTCCATTTTGGAGATGGAGGAGAGAGTGTCGAGTGGTTTGCCATCGATGGCTGTGGCACCCGTGGACGAACTGTCAAATGAAGAATGGCCTGTGAAGGAACTGAACAGTTTTCTGCTGAATGAGGGTGCGTATCTGTCTGGAAAAAGAAGGAGTTGTTGGAGCGGTAATTTTTCCGCAGTCAGTGGATATTTCGGATTACTGTAGATTGAAATTTATTTTTATTTTCTCTACCTTCTCTTCTCTGTCGATGTAGAGAACACTTCTCTATGCAGAACCCTGATGCTCCTAGAACTAAGAAGGGCACCACTTCCTCGAGTGTACAGTCGTCGTGCCCAACATTTCATGCGTCCCAGTGGATGACTCGATGAGTGATGAACCTCTGTTTCCCAGAGTGAGTGCCACACCAGGCTTGCTCATCTCTAACGCAGGGGCAAGTCGCCGACGACAGTGAAGAGGGAGCTGATGGAGTAGTACTAGTGAAGAAGCCCGTGGATAGTGTCCATGAGGTTTACTTTGGTGGCTATGTCCATAACGTGAAAGTCTGTCATATCGTGCACACAGCCACAGCTCGAACTCAGATGGCCTTCTCTGCACGCCTGAGCGATGAGGCTGCGTCTCTCTGCACTTCAACATCAGCAGCTCGAGCAGCGCCAGCAAGCAGTCGATCTTCCTTGAATAGCGAAGACAGGGATGGGTCATGCCTTTCTCTCAAGCTCCAGAGTCTCTTGGCAGGACGTTCCGCGTCTTCGCAAAACGATGAAAGTGACTGTCTTCATCGACAAAGTGTTCCGAGCAAAACCGTGACTGTGAACGATGTCGCAGCAAACTGCTGCCCTTCTCGCCAGATAGCCAGGATTCAAGAGAGTAGAATGCCAGCATCACTAGGGAACGCCTGGAAAAACAAGTGGGTTTCTTAGACAAGGGATGACGGTTGCTCCAAACAAAAACCCAACAGCAGTCCTTGGAAAGCATTTCGGAACTTCTTCCTTCAGACTTCAAATGAAAAAAGGCTGGGGAGTACATACATGAACATCGCGTCGGGACCGTGAAAACCTAGCCTGTCACAGGAAACTTGATCACGTCCTGCAGCAAACCATGCATGCTGGTTGCATGCCAAGTGTGCAGCGCGCGCACAGCATGCCCCGTCTCGACCCCTCTCGCTTATTGCGCAAAGGGTCTATTGGGTTGAAATTGTTCAAGTAACGTGTCGTGTTTAGTGCGGCCAAGCTTGGCCGTTAATGTTTTAGGTGTAATGTACTGCTGTTATGTGTTATCACGTTGTCTTTCCTTCCTTTCTCCTTTGTTCATTTCTCTCTTTGATTGTTAAAATTCACACTTGTAAATTTCACTGTTGTTGCTCTTAGTGTTATTTCTCTAACTTAGATTTTCTATAATAGTTCAATTTTTGTTTCAGTGTCCTTTAGTACAACGACGATTCCTGATGAGTGTTGTACGAAAACTTGTTTGAATCCATATTTTTTTCCCTACACCATTTCTTCATATTTTCATCGTTTTATTGCACATCGTCTCCACCGTTTTTACATTGCATGAATAAAGTACACAAATGTCGGTTCAGCTAGTTTTATTGATTGCGGTTATCAACATCTTAATACTTTTTGTATTCGTTCGTATCTGTCTGTTCAGGAAATGTTAACACGACAGTGTGACTTCGCCGGATTATGGTGAAAAACTCACCATTCGAGTTGAACTTTCCACCGAATTATCTGCATGTATTTTTCAGTTGACGCTTGGCTAAATTCCCAAGCTCATCTGCTGTGTATAGTAATACAACAGTCTGATGACTGTTATTTTTAATCACGAAGTTCCGAGTATGCTTGTGCCATTGCCATGTGAGAATTGTACTTTTAGTACCTTCATACAGAAGTATCCATCGCAGCAAGTTCATCAATAAGTTCAAATGCATATATCAGCCATAACGTGTACTATTATGCAAACAAGTTGTGATAATAGTGTCCGGATGATTTTTTCTGTCAACGACGAGCCCTAAAAATTCGTCAACATTCCGCACACGTAAATAAGCTGGTCTAGAATGTCAAACATAGTATTATAAACTTCCTTGCCAAAGATCAAAGCATTTGATCCTCAGCATTTCCCTTTCTACCTGAATCCGTACAGCAGCAATTTTCTTTGTACTTGCAAGTTCTTGAGGGGTCATTTGGCATCCTCCTTGGCGAAATGGGGGGATGTTCAGGCGGAACCCATGGCTAACACGAATATCTTGTATGTCGAGACCTCTGTCTGCCATAATGGAATCGCCATGCTCTAATAAACTGATTAGGCCGCTAATAAACTGATTAGGCCTCTCTGTTATGTGATGGCACGATCCGACACAGGTCCTTCGAATACTTTCAAAACAAACGTCACATGGCCATACCATGCAATGGCGATAAGGCATTTTACCGTTTTGTGTTTCTTGCACGCCAACCACGTCGTTGCACTTTGCCATGCCAACGAGAATGGAATATTTATGAAAATTTCAGTGGAGTCAATTACGACGCGAGTTGTTGCATACCACTGATTGAATGCAGGTGGCATCAATTTGTCTATTCTTCTCCTTGGAAGCCAAGTTGGCAGTTGGCGAAACTTGTGGTACATAAAATTGACCCAGGTTGTCACAGTGAGCGAGACTGTGTAAGGGCGGACTTTAAACGGTGGACTTTAAACCGGTCCAGAAGCTCAAATTCTTTCAGTCGAAGACGAAGACGGACGCGGACGAGAAAGAACTTCTCCTTCAGCTCTAGCTTCGGTTTGCTGCCTGGTTTGATGCCGTATTGCATCGCGTCATTAGGTGCCGTCTGTGAACCCATCCAAGTCTGCATCACATTGGTGGAATCGTGCAGAAAATTGAAACATGCCATGAACTTAAGAAAAGATGAAAATCCAGTGTAGAAAGACAACAAATTCTGGTTATATTTTACTCTGAGGATAGAGAACACATGTCTCTCTGCAGCATTTAACTTGGCTTCCATGTCCTCTGTGTATTTTTTCGTTTTCCAACATCCGTCCTTATCTACTCTAGCAAGTTGATAAAAACGAATGCATCTTAGGTATTGTCCCGCAGTGTGAAACTACCATACGATCAAGGGGCATCATTTGAGTTTGCCCAGCAAGTTTCGTCACTTACTAAAATATTCCTGGCAGATGAAGAAGTTACACGAGTTACACTGAGCCGCCACCAGTTCTGCATTGCTGGTATTGTACGTAGCGCAACGTTTACCTTCGTTCGGTGGCGACACTGATGGTGCAGTTGCAGACGATCGTCTCCAACTCCAGACATCTTTACCGCTCTGTTTTGTTCCTTGTAGACCAACCCATATAGATGTAACCGTAGTGCTGATCAACACATTATTGACGCATGTCTTTTGGTTGCCATTGTTGGTTTCAGCCAGCCAACTAGGCTTTGAGCAAGGATGAGGGTTACCGTTTAATTTCACCTTGTATTTTGAGACCCTCATCCTAGTGGTTAGGTTACCTGCAGATGGTGCACACGTAGTCCAATTTCCTACAGTGAAACAACAGATGGGTCGCAGAAAAGTCGGTGAAATGTTAGAAATCGCAATGTAGACATAGATAATGGAGCATGTTCTAGTAAAGGTTCCCACCTTCAATCTACATATCCCCTTGCATGAGCACACACATGTCCAACCACCTAAGCCGTCACTAATTAGATGTTAGTCGGACGGTGTCGGAGGACATCCTGCACATGACTATAATAGTCACCATAGCCAGATCAACGTCACAGCACTCACTTCCAGAAATTAGGGACAAAATAATCAAACCCTTCCACAAACCGGCTAGAATACCTAACTTGCAAAGTTGCAAAAGTGATCGCAAACTTAATACACACAACATTCGCACAGGTATCTGTGAAATATTTCTATGCCATCTCTTCATAAGAATACCTGAGCCAAGCCTGCGCAATTTCACATTGCCACTTGTAGTAGAATTCAGAAAATGAGGTTTTAAGTCACTTTTGCATTAACAGTCGCACCAAAAATTGTTGGTTGCGCGAGGAGAAGCTTGTCGTTTGGAGTAACAAGTGATCACTGCTGCTTTTCCTTGTCAGAGTCAACAATACACTTTGTTCTGCAGCGTTGGGATAAGTGTTGGAGTAGAAATTGCCGAGGAGACGTCGCTGAGGGGCGAGCTTTCCTGCGCAGGTATGAATTTGGACGTATTTCAGCATGATCGAGTGGAAAAATTCAAAAACATTTAATTCAAGAAAACCCCAAAAAGAAATATGGCGAAATGTCCTCAGTGCTAGAAGAGTTGTTCTGGTATCTGCCGGTGTATAGTTCTTGCCAATTGAGGACGTAGTTGACTGTTTTATCAGCGCTTATAAATTGGCTATTTTCAAGACGATCATTTGTGGGGTCGGGAGGTGGGGGGGGGGGGTGGTGATGGCGTATGCTGGCGTAGCTAAAACTCTTTTCAGGCGAGGCAATGTTGGCTTTATGGAGTGTGGTTCGTAGCTTGTTCCTGTACGCCTTGGTGTGACTCGTTTGTCGACCCATAAATACTGTGATTGTCGGCCATTTTCAGGGGCATGCAAGTTTCAAGGTTCGCTTCAGAGACGTTTTCAAGGGCTTTGAACGGTCAATCTACACCCCAAAGGGAACCTACTGCAGATTTTGAGCGAAATAGGAAAGATGGACTTGCACATATACTTTGGTATTCTCAGACATGCTCTCTAAACATATTTGAGGCACAAATTATGCAATAGAGTCCGCCAACTAACAGTTAAACCAGGTTTTGAACAGTCAGACGTGCACAAGGTAGCACCAGACTGACAAGGAGTACTGAGACATTACATGGCAAGGAAGTGAGCTTGAGCACTGATCGATAGCGCTAACCAAGGGCATTCCCACTTGCAAGGTTCATAGATATTGGTGATAATTCCAAAGCAAAGAGTGGACGGTCTCAAGCCGAACACAGGCTTCATTCCAAGGCACAGTGGAACGCTGGCTTGGTACACGATAAAGGGACGGTACAACCATTGGACAATACGGTCTAAGCACAATTCAACAACGAAAAGCAACAACCACCCACCTTGGAAGGCTCAATTTTATCAAGGATAAGAAATGAAAGGGAAGCTTCGCGAGGACGAATTGTAACAAACTGATATACCACAGTACTGTACTTGGGCAATGACTCTGAAGCACGATGGACAAACTAACTACCGTAATTCCGCGCATATAAGCCCATGGGCTTATGTATGAAACAATGCAGTTTGGGGATAAAATATCCAGTAAAACATGTTCGTTTTTTAGCCCATGGGCCAATATTCGAATTTTGAAGGTTCACGAAAAAGTACAAGTCCGTGCTCAGGGTCAGACTCTACTGGTAAACTGCACTGACCTGCTGTACCATGGTAGGAAGAGTCCTTTTTGTGAAAAATTCTACTTGACACGAGAGTCGCATTTGTGTCTGTTTATTAGCCCATGGGCTTATAAACGGAGGCGGGCTTATATCCGGATATAGGCCCATGGACTTACATGCGCGGAATTACGGTACAGTAACATGTATAGTATCACACGACGATCATTTCCCCATATAGATCATCATGGCTCTTGAGGTGTGCAATAACTGCTCAGAAGGTGAGCCAAGGATATTCTGACGGAAACAAGGAAAAGGTAGCACAAACCTGACAAGGAGTGCTGAGACATTACACGGCAAGGAAGTGAGCTTGAGCACTGCTCGATAGCGCTAACCAAACAGCCTTTCAACTTGGATGGTTCATGGAGATTAGTGATAATTCCAAAGATTCCCTTTCATTTGTTATCCTTCATAAAACTGAGCCTCCCAAGTTGGGTGGTTGTTGCTTTGCGTTATCGATTTGTGGTAAGACCGTATTGTCCAATGGTCGCACCGTCCCTTTATCGTATTCCACTGTGCCTTGGAAATGTAACATGTGGTCGGCTTGATGGCGCTTACCTTCCACTCTTTGGAATTATAACTAATATCCATGAACCTTCCAAGTTGGAAGGCTGTTGTTGATTAGCGTTATCGAGCAGTGCTCAAACTGACTTCCTTGCCGTGGGATGTCTCAGTACTCCCTGTCAGTCTGGTGCTACCTTGCGCATGTCTGATGTTTCAAAACCTGGTGTATTTGGTGGAATCTAACGCATAACTTGTGCCCCACCGTTTTCTTTGTTTCCATTTTAACATATTTCTTTTCTTGTATATTTGGACAAAAGCAGCAGACAGCTATGTCGTTTGCAAAGCCTGGGCAAAATGGAAAGCTAAGGAGGGGATAAAGTGGCTAAGCTAGGAAGGAGAAAAGAAATGAAATACCATCTTCTCCAGTTGACTTGAACCTCCAGCGGATTTGCTCCGTTTTAACTTCTGAAATTGTTGCCGGACTACGCTAGTCAAAGGGTCGCCAAGATCCGCAGCGAAAAAGATACGGGGACAGTCGAGTTAGGATTTTCAGGATGACTAGCAATGAAGGTGAGCAAGATACGGCCTCTGTTTTTTTGTTTGAAGTTTTATTTTACATCGCAAACCAAACGGGCATTGATGCCCAATATTATGATGGCGATAGAATAAAAAATGTGGCTCGATAAAGCTGCACTTGAGAAAACGATAAAACAGTCAATAGGAAGTATTTGTACCGGTAATTACAAGTCAAGTTCGAACGAATTAACAATCAGAGAGAAATTGGAAGATGAGGACCTATGCCAGAGGGAGGTACTATTCGGCCATATTAACCGTAGAAAAACACTTTCAGTTCAAGGCTGGTGACTCCAGCCAACCCAAGAATTACCCACCAGTCTCCCTATTGCTGAAAGTGTCGAAAGCGCTTGAGCGTATTGTTCATAAGAAGCTTCTGCAGTACCTCAACATGAATAATGTCTTGCCTGCTCGTCAGTATGGTAACCGACACCAGCATCCCCTACGTACCAACTCACGCAAAAGAAAAACAGATTACACAAGCGCTGGCTAGGAGACAGAGGAAATGACATCCTACTCTCCCAGTATAAAACAGCCCGGTCTCAGGCATCCAACGCAATCCGCAGGAAAAGAAACGCTTTTTTCACCAGACAATGTGAGCAGCACTCTCATGATCCAAGGAGAATGTGGTCAACCTTGAACGCGGTAACCGGCCGCTCCAAGGCAAGGCAGGACCCAGTGTGCGACGTTTCTGCGGTGAGCTGCTTCTTCCATAGTATTGTCACTGATCCAAGTCGTCCGGACACCCTACAGATACCCCATGGTCCCTGCACCCGCGCCTCACTATCAGCTTTCACGCCAACGGCCTGTCCCGCAGTACAGCGATTACTCGCCACAATCGATCCTGACAAGGCCACGGGTAATGACGAGATCCCTGGCCGTCTGCTGCGAGTCTGCAGTGATATTGTTGCCCCGCACTTATGCGACCTCTTCAATGCCTCCTTGTATTCCGGTCGCCTACCGAAGCCGTTCAAACACGCCCTGGTAAAGCCGCTTTACAAAGCAGGGGACCCAACAGTCGCCACTAACTACAGACCCGTGTCATTATTACCAATTGTTGCGAAGCTGCTAGAAAAGGTAGTACAACGCCAGCTTACAAGGATTTGCATACCGTACAAACCACTGCACTGAAGACGCTTTGGTACTCCTAACGGAGAATATTCTCCATGCAAAGGACGCGCGACTAGCCAGTGGTGTGTGTTTGCTGGACATGTCGAAGGCTTTCGACAAAGTCAAGCATGACATTCTTGTACGCGATCTTTTCGAAGTTGGCCTTCACGGCACTGCACTCCAATGGTTTGCAGACTACCCCGAAGAACGCACCCAACAAGTGCAAATCGCTGGATCCATTGGTGCTCATGTGGCGTCCCGCAGGTTTCCGTTCTCGGACCCGTGCTTTTCAACATCTACACCAGGCATGTGCCCACCATTGCCAGTCCGTCCCTCTCGGTGCAGTTTGCTGACGATATTGCTCTTACGTTCAGCCACCCTGATTGCCATGAAGGATCGCGAGTTCTCACAACGTCTACAACCGAGACTGCTAACCACCTCCAGGAACGGAATCTAATCCTTAGCACTAGCAAAAGCCATGTCCTGCAAATTTCCGGCCAAGTCATTACTACTGTCAAATGCCGTGGAAACCCGCTACCAGCAGTTCCCCATGCGAAGTACCTGGGCATCACGCTAGACGAGCACGTTCGATTTGACGAACACGTTAACAATGCTGTGAAGAAGGCCTCGCAGAAGGTGGGAGCACTCTGGAGAGCCCGCCGTTGCCTTACAAGAAAGTCCAGAGAGCAGT